GGAGCAGTGTCATGTGTAAATAAGGTCCATTTGGTTGCCTGATTTGTGAGTAGCCGTAGTTAATACTCGCTTGAGATCAAAAGAGTCAAGCAGAGTGTGGAAGTCTGCAGCCTGAGGTTTATCTAGGTGGATGTTGAAGTCTCCAAGCATAACTAGTGGAGTACCATCCTCAGGAAAGTTTGAGAGCAGCACATCTAATTCTTCCACGAAGTTACCTAGTGGTCCTGGGGGTCGATGAACAACTATACAATGGATTTTAAGAGGGTGGGTAATAGTAGCTGAATGTGATTCAAAGGAGCTGTTGATACTCAGAGATGGTAAAGGATTAAATTTCTAATCATTAGAGATAAGCAGACCATTACCTCCACCTCTTCCAGTCAGACGGGGGGAGTGGGAAAAAGAGAAATTATTGGAGAGTGCTGCAAGTGTAGCATTGTCCTCTGGTTTGATCCCCGTCTCTGTCAGGGCCATGAGGTTTAGTCTTGAATGACTTGTAATAGAAGTAATAAAATCTGCTTTGTTTACAGTAGACTGGCAATTCCAGAGACCAATAGGAAAAGAAAGTAGTGTATTAGTAGACATAGGCAAAGTGCGCAGGTTGTTAGGATTGCGCTGCCTACAGTGTGTGATGCATGGTTTGCGAGTGGTAGTGATAGTGGGGATCTGGAAACACATAGTAAGAATTGGTTATAAAAACTGAAAACAGAAGGGAAACAAGTAGCAGGAAAGAGAATGATTCAAAAGCGATACTTATGTCCCTTGCCGGTTTCCCTGCTCGGTGGAGTCGAACGGGAGAGTCGATGGTCTTTACACTCTTCTGTCTTCACACGAGGAGAGCTTCACACGAGTGCTGCCGCGATATACTAAGCTTTTTATATTTGTCTAACAAAACTCAAATTGAATTCAGCTGGACACACTTACCTGTTTATCACAACAAATGGCCAAGCAAAGCGCACGACACTGACAAGGTACGCGATACAGTACGAGACCAAACGCGATTTCAGCACGTCTCCACACAGTAAACAAAACAAGCGTTTCCTAGCAACGACAACTGCGCTAAACACTGAGACAAGAAATAAATACACTTACAAGCTGTTTATAACTTCTGCTGATTGACTGCTTCTCACAAAGAGTATTTCTTTACACTGTGTTTTGCTGGCGCTTGAACACACTTTCCTGTTTATCACAACAAATGGCCAAGCAAAGCGCACAACACTGACAAGGTACGCGATACAGTACGAGACCAAAATTATGAACCTTAACCCAAAAACCTTTAGCTTCATACACTGTAGATAAGTGTGACCCTGCCTGTGGAAACCCAGCTAAAGTTTTTTTTTTAAACAGTGGATGAGTAATTCACTCCTTGATTTGCTTAATAAAAGCCTCCTTTGAGATCGTTTTGACAGACATGTTTATTGTGTATTATTTTCAACGTGTTTATTGCTAAGTCTAGTGTGGCAAACGGTGGCAAAATAATTAACTAATAATTCGCGTGCAGTGTATCTGGTAACCATGACAACCTCACCTGCTTCCTGCTGCTGCTCTATGTAATCAGAGTATGAATTTGTAGATTTTCTATAGCAATACTAAAATGTGTTTAAAAGTGCGACTGGCCAAATCGTCCAGCTCGGTTTGCCCCCCTAGAAGTCGAAGACATCTCTAATTTGACAGTTTACCATCTGATCTCACTCAGTGACTCTAGGCTACGTAGGATGGGACGAAACCATGCAGTGAATGGGGGGAGATAATTTTGCTGGAAATGCAGAAATAAACCATAATTTTGTTTTATTTGTAACTCTTTGGTAGATACATTTATCATTTCTATTACATTACTACTACTACTACTGTTACAATAATAAAATAAACATTTTATAAAACAGATCTCTGGGGGCCCCAAAAGTGCGTGGGCCCTTAGAATCGTCCTAACTTTCCCCCCCTTAGCGGCACCCCTGGTTACTAGTAAAGCTAGAATAGGCTTCAGCAACAAATAGAGTGCATATTTGTTAGAAGTGAATATTTGATATCTGAACCACAGCTCAGCAAAGAATTCAATGGCAAAAATGTGAAAGGTGTTACCAGTGACAATTGCAGACAAAATCGCAGGAGATTCATTGCTGATTTTGAACGCGATATTGCGTAGCTTGTCAGTGATCTACGTCTCCGTGTAGTAAATGCCGCTCCATCTGAACGAACGAGCTGGAGATTTACTACACAGACACAGTGATGATGCAGTACACAAGCCGCAGTTAAGACAGCTATGATTTCTGACAGGCAGTTCACTCTTCTACTTAAACTAATAACAAAACATACTTACAGTCGCTGATTCAGAAGTACCAGATTGTCATAGCAAAGTAGGTATTGAC